ATATTTCTTTTTAATATTTATATAATTGTTTTATTTATATTTTTATTATTTATGTGACATGTGTATGCTGTTGTTACTGTTATTTGTATTGTTGTTATTGTATTATTGTGTTGTAGTAGTTCCTATCCTTTTCTTAAACGTTTTTCAAAGGAAAACTTTTTGAATTTACATTTCATATTTTTATTTTACTTTATTTCAAAAAAAAAGTAAAAAAAAAAAAAAAAAAAATTAATAAAAATAATATGCTTTCCTTCTTCTTATGAATCTTTCTAATTAGGTTTTAGTTAGTTTCATTTTCCGTTGTCACATTAATGTAAAGATTTCCTTTTGCCTTTCTCTTTATCCTATCTTTCTTTCAATCTCTATTCGGAATTGTTTTTATTTTTTTTTTGTTTTTGAGTTTTTTAATTCCCCTTACGCAAGATACCTTCTTCTTTTCTTATAGTGTTGAAAGATTTAGAGCGTAGCTAAAATATGAAAACTATTTGTTTTTTGCTTACTTGGGTTTTTTTTCGTGTATTTTCTTGGTTCTTTCTTATCATTTGTAGACGGACGTAGGTAATAATTCAAGTTTTTCAAGTTTTGGCGATACCTCTTTCTAAAAAGAATTTTGTATTATATTTACGACGAATTCTTGGAAACAATGCTTTGCGCTTTTTGAACAATTCAAAAGAAGACTTGAACAATTGAATTTCTCTGAAATTCTTCATATACTTCAGAAGAATTCAAAGTAAAGTTTTAAGATTTCCATTAGTGTCATAATTAGTTTATGTTTTTTAGACGTAGTAAGTCAAAAAACTACATAAATATCATTCTTCTTATACTTGGGTGAGATTTTTTTCAGCCATCTCTTACTTATCCTTTTACATTCTACTGTCATGTTTGAAGAATATTTAGAGCTCTTTAATCGATTTTAGCGTCTGTTTTGAGATACTTGTTGAAGATTGGTGATAGATAACCCAGAAAATTTGTTTTTTCATTTATTGATAACAATTTGAATGCACAATGAATGCAATTTTTCAAAAATTTATTTTGGAATGAGTTTAAATACTTCAAGAATGTTTGTAAAGAAATTTTGTAAGAAATTTTATACCCTATACCGCTTGTGATACACTGGTACATTAAGTTTGTGCGGATGTATGCAATACCGAGAATGACTTCATATACATCCATCTTTCATTATCTCGATCGATTCAGAATTACTTTTTCAATCAATCAAAATATGTTCGCCGTCCGTTCGATCGACCATCTATCACCATTGTGATCTATGTCCCATTATAGTGCTTTTTACTTTTTTAAAAATAATTTTATATGAAATTCATCGGGCATAAAAGGCACATTTCGAATAAATCAGATATTAATTAGGAATTGAAGAGAGGTTCGTAAAGTGCTTTATATGTCATTTGGTAAAAATGATTAAGTATCCAATTTTATAATAGTGACCCAATTGCACATAATCTAAAATTTCTTTTTATGTATAATCGCCTTCGAAAATTGGCGCCATCCTGTTTAGTCGGTAGTATTAATAATTATCGAGAGAAATTTTGGAATTGCTCCGTTATGGGCCGTAGCTTGCTCAAAAGTAAAAAAAAACATTATTTGTTTTTAAGCATTGCATGCTTGTTTGCTGCTCTGGGTGTGCCTATATAGATCAATCAAGCTTATTTCGAGCTGTATCTGTGGATTAATAAAAGTAAAAATTTAGTTTTTAACCTTCTTTTTTTATACCCGTCACAGAAGGATGTCATTTTGTTGAAACGTTTGCAATGACCAGAAGGAAGATTTAGAGTTCCCATAAAATACTTTATACATATATACATATATGCACTCTTGATCAGAATCAAATTCTTCATCACGTGGAAAAAAACAAACTATGGACTTTCGATTTGGCAGCGACATTGAAAGTTCTTGTACGTAGGTTGGTATTAAAAATAGGCCAAATCGGTCAAAGAACATTGCACTCTACAGAGAGTATCTCTGTTTTTCAAAAGCACTAAAAAAATTGCTCATCGCTCAGAAACTGCAGTACATAAATCGTCAAAAATTCGGTCATAATTTAATTTTTTTCTTCAAAAACCATATAAAACTTATGAATTCGTGGTCAGTGTCAATTTCAGAATACACCTAAGCATGTCCGGCCGTTCATCTATTCAACTCTCTGACTGGCGCAATAGTATTGTATCTGTGACAAACATTCTTACGTTCGCAAAAACGAAGACATCGCCTACTAATTTGCAAAATAATTTAAAAATATGACTCAAATCGGTCAAAAGACACGCCAACAACGTCCACACATTTACGCAACAAAAGCTGCGAAAACTTTTGCTTTCCGTATTTGTTGCTTGTTACTCATACATACAGTAAAACACATACACTATATAAATTTCTGCTTTTATTCTCAAAATAGAAAAAAATCAACTGCGCTCAACCAACGTTACGGAATATGAAAATTGAGTTTACATCCCTTTTTTTACGTCTTTTTTACTGATACTGATGATGGGTATAAAAGATTCGGTCATGATCGTATATACATATATATATATATATATATATATATTTTGGTTGTTTTTAATTGCAACTATGCTTCCCTATTCTGTCAGTTAAGGTAACTCCCGTATGGTTTCAATATACCTTTGGAAAATTTCTTTGTTTTTGAAAATTTTTGTTTTAATTTATTTGAAAAAGTTTTTAAGAAAACAAGTTCTTTGGAGTAAGGGATGGCATAGATTAAAAAAAAAAAAAAAAAAACAAAAAAAAAACAAAACAGACAAAGCACCTGATTCGATCTATTTTCTGCAGAATTTCAGATTATCTTGGTTTTTAGAAAACCATTTCTCTACTTTTCAAAATTCCATTATTTCGATTACATTGCAGGCTATCAAAACCAGTGCTGTTCTAAATCGATTAAAAAAATCAACCATTTACGCATAAACTATGAACGAAATTTTAAGCGTCTAATAATTGCGTTATTTGCGTTTATTAACAATAGCAAAATGAAGAAGCCTTGCCATCATTTTATGATTTTCCTAAATAAATTTGATAGTTAATGCAGTTTTAGATTTCTTGATACGAATCATTTTAATTTTTGATTCAATTTCATATATGAAATTTGAAAAGAGACTTGATTCGGTTTGTATGAGATTTCACATCGGTAACGTTCTTTTTCCAGGAATCGCAGGAATTTTTGCGAAATATTCCTAAACTTTACAAATTGCATTTGCAAATGTAACGCAAAGAATGCCTGTAATGAAAAAACCTTAGCCCCTTAAAGGTAAGATGTATTAATCAACAATTACGAGCCAGATATATTCATTTCAGTGCCGATTTCGATGATCACGTTGCTTGTCGCAATAATCGATTATTTCTAAAAAAAAAACAAAAAAATGGTAGTAAGGCCGGCATACCGAGGACACATGTACCTCCAAAATTTAATAATGTTAAATTGAGTTCGAGGCACTTTTGAAATAATTCATAAAGACCGATGAAAAGTGGCTAAGTAATATTTTGCTTTTTGTTTTTTTTGGATTTATTTGGATGCCATGATGCCCTAGAAGAGGTATAATAGACATGCACTATTAATTTTTAAAAATCCGATTAAACTTTCTTGCCTGTGTATATCGCGTAACTATTGAAGCGATCAGTAGAAAATTAAACAAGTTAGTGGTGATGTTAGTCCGAACTAGCAGGGACTTGCTTAATCTGTTCTACTGTATTCAGATAGAGTAACGAAAAAGATACGCATTTTTTTTTTATTCAGAGCCTATATCCGGGGGAATTTTGAAAACCGGTCATCGGTAGATTTGATATGCCTCGCAATTGAAATTGATTTGTTGTTGTCCCTTTAAGTTAAGCAAGTTAAGGGAGATGTAAGTAAAGAACTAAAACGGATAAGGAATCAATTATGAAAGCAATCTTAGGTATACGTTATGCAATTTTATTTCACATATACGCTTAAAAAATTATAATAAGTTAAAGGTACAAATACGAGCTGTCTGGTACATTCAGGCGAATTATTTTATGCGTTTCCATCATAGTATTCTTATCTAAGTTAAAGTCGATTGATTGGCTTTACCGGTTTTACATTTTGGGTCAAGTTGTGTGTGCAGAAAAGTTGAAGTTCATATATCGGGGGCTTTCATTTATGTTATTTATAACTATACTGACTGATTGGCTATCAGAGTTTAGTTGGAGAACTTTTGTCGAACTGAACACCTTCTTTATGTAGTAGTTAGTGATTGTTGTTGTCAATTGCGATTTAATTTGCTATGTATTATTGTTCTTATCCTTATTGTTTTTTATGTTGCTGTTGGTTTTTTGCTATTGCATAAGTTATGTTGTTCCATAATTCTAAGAGAAATGTACATTATGTATAACTTGATCCTTGTTGAAAAATAACTTTTTTTTTTTTTTTTTGTAATTTCATTTACTAAAGCACTCTGTTGTGTTGCTCGCTTAATTTTGCATCATTTGCTTTTATATCGTTGCTGCGTTAATATTTTTATTTCCCTTCTTTACATTTTGTTTACTGTATATGTTATATGTAGTAATGCGCGCACACACATATATGTAATTTATTAGCATAAAGTACTGAGAGGCATGTAATTCATTATAATTTCGGTTTAGCGTAATTTAATTCTTTTTTATTATTTATTTTTTTAATTATTATTATTATTATTATTATTATTATTATTGTTATTATTATTATTATTATTATTATTATTATCATTATTTATTATTACTGACCTAAACGCTACGGTTTATGGTTTCTTTCATATTAATTTCATTTATACCTCATCTGGTTTGTTTAAATGTTTTCGATGTTTTCCCATTTTTTTGTTTTTTTTTTTTTTTTTTTTAGGTTTTTTTTTTTTTTTTATTTTTTTTTAATTTTTTTTTAAAAATTTTTTTGTTTTTTATTAATTTTGCTTCTGGTTATAGTTCAAATTAGCAATAAATTTAAATATAATTAAATTACTACTTAAATTAAATTAAATTTTATAACAGCTTTGGTAGTCGTTTCTGGCATCCAACGTATTGAACAACAAGGCCAATATATCGCACATAACGTCTTTTTTACTATATTGCATTAATTTCATACCCATACATATACACACATCCACACACAGGAAGACACGCATACACGCAGGCATATGCATGTCGATAGAAATGTTTCATATGCGTATATATGTAAATACGCGTAATTAGTTTTCGTTTTCATTCATATAAAAAAGTTCAAAAGAAAATATGAATAAAAGCTGAATTTTTTTTGTTCAATTTTTGATTTTGTTTTTCAAAAAAAAAAAAAAGAAAAAAAAAAAAAAAAAAAAAATATATATATATATATATATATATATATCTTATATATATATATATCTTATATATATCTTTTTCAATATAAATCAAAAGTTAAATAATAATTCATACAGATCTCTTATACTGTTTCAATTATAATAAAGCGTTCATGATTAAGTAAAATAAAAAGAATATTAAAAATTAATTGAGCTTTAAGTTTGCCAAAAATCGAATACACTAAAGCAAATGCAAAATAACCTTGAATTGCTTATAGAATTTACTTAAGGTCATATACTAATATAGTCATAGAGAACTATAACTTAGATCATCAATGTCATTTATTATAATATTAACTTTAACAATAACAAGAAGATGAAAAGTTTCCCAGCAATTTGACTTTTTAGCCATTTAAAAATTATCATTTTTTTAAAGGATGTTTTATAATTTTTGAATATTTAGCATAACTCTTTCAAAATAAAGCATATATTTACTGTATTTGCATATCTTTATAATCACTGATATAATATCGATAGTAGAATTGAATCTGTAAAACATAATCAGTTCAAGCTCCCGTTAAAATTATTGATTTCATATTTTAAATAATTCATAAAATTATTAATTAATTATGCAATTAGAGTATTAATATTTGTTAAGCGGTAATGTTGCAACGATATGTGCAAAACGGCAAACGACCTTGAAAACGAGTTGAAAACGAATGTAATATTTCTGGCAATTCATGAAAAAAGCATGCTTTCATCCATCAACGAAGCTAAGCAATTATCCAAGGTAGGTGCAAAGAGAATCGGCTAACAAAGAAAAGATAGGTCAGAAGATGCTGGCAGCAAACGAAATTCGGTCTTCGTATAATGTAAATTGCATTGAAATATCTCACAAGGTAGAAACGCAAGACAGGAAATTTGAAACTGGGTGGGTGTGTCCCTAACCAATAAATGTTATGGCTTTACCGACTAAGCACTTAGTATAGCTATGACCAAAGAAAACAGCAACATAATTGAGATTTGAACCGATGAATTTTGACTTGGTAGTCGCGGTCGCGGTTCTTACCTACTCAGCTACTCAGACGGATTATGCTATTTCGAACGCGAAGTGTTCCGTAAAGTTTAATAAAAAATTTCTATTGCATTGCATTCTGTCTTTGTCCGGCTTATAAACAGTGAACTTGCTAATTAAATAACAAAATTATAGTAAAGTAAATCTAGAGGTTACAACGCAATGAAAACAAATACCTTCTTCCAAAGGTATAAATCAGTTAAGGACTTTATTCTTTAAGAAATTCAGAAATCCTTTATACCTTAAGCAATCCAGAAGAGAGTACTAAAGCACTGAGTTCATATTGAGCAATTCGACTGTTTCCATATCTTTGAACGGTACTGGTGACCCACTTTGTTTTATCAGTATGAAACTTTAGAATTAGAAACCTTTTTAAAATCAAAGCGCTGTTGTGCAAACTTTTGATATGCACGGTACAAAGACTGCCTGTTAGTAAAAAATTTGTGTATCTTCTTTAGGTCCGCTTTCTACTTAAATGCATTCGATGATATTTCGTTTAAAAGCGATTTGACAGTTAGTCAAGGCGAAAAGAAAAAAAGCATCCCGCTTGAGCCAATATTATATCTGGCGTTTACGAGTGATCACTCTAACCCAGATTGCAAGTAACTTCGTGAGGGTAGTGCCGAAATAGTTTTGAGATTTGGAAAATCAAATCTTATGAATCTAAGTTTTACGTTTAGGAAAAGCGAATGGTATATTAATTCTTTAGCAGTGTTTAGTAAAATATCTTGGTATACGCTTGGATAAGTAGGGTTTTAGAAAAAGCGTTAAAATTAAAGAGCACCATTTTGGAAAGCGTACTCACTGTAATGCGTCCAAGATGCGGAATTTTCTACCAAAACCAAAACCTGCTATTTAAACCCGTGGCATTTAATTGTGTCATGGAACAGGTAACTTAGAAGAAGATTTCCGAAGAAGTACTTCATTCAAGCAACCAATCTAAAGATTTCCTTCGTTAAAAATGAAATTAAATCGCATTTAAGGCTGCACCAAATTGGCTCTGGTATACACCTAAGCATTCCTACCGCTAATTTGATGTCATTTAGAAGGTAGAAGAGATCAATTTAGGTAATGCTGTGGGCGTGTACTTCGACCGATTTGGCCCATTTTCAATACCTATTTGCGCGCAAGAACTTCCAATGTTTCTAGTAAACTTGATAGCTTAATTTCTGCGGACAGGAAAATATTGACAACAGGCCAGACGTACAGACGAAAAGGCTTAAATTGGCTCAGAATTTGATTTTGAGCATAAACCTTTATTACATATACTTTTTGGGGCTTTCGCAGCTGCTTTTTGGGCATTGCAAATGTTTTGAGAAAACGGATATGCCCTGAAGCATTTTCGCAGTTCGCTGGACCGAAATCGTTAAAATTTAAAATTTTTTATGCAAACTGGTGAAGCAAGATCTTCATGTAACTTATAGTCGTGTTTTAGCATTTTCATATATCGGAACAAATAAATTGTTTTTTTGTGGTGAAAAAGTTGTTTGCATGATCGCTCGCTCATAAGATGATTAACCTAATTGCTCGAATAAGATAATTTTCAAAATTGATTTGCAATGCTTTTAAAATCTTTACCAACATTGTCACGAAAATCTTAGATTTATACGTACGAGAGTAAAAACAATTAACATCAGCCTGTATGTGCATTTCAAAATTGAGTCAAGCGCAAAATGCTTACCTAAACTGAAACCAAAGTTTTGCTAATTTGAAAAATGCGCCAGGCGTATGCTTGGAGGAAATTAGCCGAAAGGAACTCATTACTTTAATGTGTCTTGATTATAAGGTAAAAAGATTTTCGAATCATTTTCATTTTAAAATTGAAATTCACGTTTAAATGAATAGTGAAAACCGGCACACAAAACGAGTTATCGTTGACATTGTATTGATGTCGCAATGTCAAGTTTTAGTAGACAAGCAGCAAGTGAATCATTAAATGAGATTAATAAATCTACACATTATAGCATAGACGGATGGGACTGCCTACCCACTTCCATCCACTATCTATCCTAAGACATTGTGTCCCATACAATATAATCAAAGTCATAGGGAGTTCAATAGTTAATTCAGTGAATAGATGTAATCATTGCAAGAATAGCTCGAAACTAGAAATTTAGTTCAATTAAAAATGAAGTGAAGCAATTTGCTTAGTCTTTTCATTCGCTACGATTTTCGATTTTTAAACCTAGACAACAGCGGACATTTGGGGATTTGGGGATTGCTCTTAAACCTCTCCAAAAAGTAATTACTTCATCTTTAATGAATGTCCTCCGTGCGTGCACATATATACTCGCAGTTGTGGCCGAGCTGCGTCAAGGTAAGAGAGCATGCTCAACATACAATATTTCGCCGTATAATGTTCGAGTCGAGGCCGAGGTCGAGGACGGACCCAAAGCGAGCCGGGCAATATTATCGACAACATGATTGGCAGAAGGGAAATGTGGAGCACAAAAGTGCTGGGGGAACTGCGATGCGTAGAAAGGCAGCGAGCGGAAAAAAGAAGTAGCGGAGACGAATAAGGGATCCACTAAGGTTGCACCAGAAGAAGTGAAGCCATAGGAACCAACTTCCGCGACGGTCGACGGAGGGTGTTTATGGGGAATAGTTTTAGTGCGTAGACATCGTGCGAATCGTGCATGCTGCTGGCACGGGCCAGTACCAGTTCAGTTTTATATTTGAAAGATTAAGAACTCCAAGTCGCATAGCAAGCAAAACAAAAAAAAAAATAAAAAAATACACATATACACACAAACATACACATACACACGCACACAATTTGCAAAAGTTGAGTAATCTTATCGATCTACAATGAATATCTCTCAATAAAGTTTTATGTACTTATTATTATCACCTCTCAAGCAACCAACAATTGAAAACATTCGAGTTGATTAAATGAATATCTGATATAATCTTTACACGTATTTATTCAAAAAAATGGAAGACAAAAAAAAAAAAATCACATTAAGTAGTAAATAGTATTATCTTTTCAATGCCGCACACAAACCCAAACCTTTCTACTTTCTTTCGCATAAGTAATTTGCGTCTACGATAAAATTATAAAGCATCCTTTTTTGGGTTTTTATTTTCCATTATCGAATTTAATTGTGTTTATACACTGCTGTGCTTAATACAGCTTTGAGGTTAATTAAGAATTTCCCCCAAAAATCCATACGAATGGTGTTTTAAGTTGTTTTTTAAAATTTAAATTATTCTTTATTGTCGAAAGTATTATTGTCACAGGATAAGAGATTGTTTTCTATACAATAGTATTAAAATTTCAATAGCTCAGAAACAAAAAAAAATTAGAAATAGAATAGGGAGGAAAGAGAAAGAAGGTCTAATACACTTACCCAGTAGTCAAACATCGGTTTCGATACTAACGGCTAAAGCATTATTATGCCTATGAGTGAGAGTGCTACCGCCAGTGGTAACACTCATGGCAGATTGCTTATAACCATTCTGCAACTGTATATGCTGTTGTTGCGGTGACGGTTGTTGCTGTTGCTGTTGTGAGGGCAGTTGCTTATCTGGCGGCGATTGTTGCTGCCGTTGAGGCGGCGGAGGCAGGGTTGTAGTTTGTTGGTAATGATGCTGGTGGTGATGATGAGCTCCTAAAAATGGAGCCACCGAACGACCAGGATGCGTATCAGTCAGTCCCGGCGTTGATTCAACGCCGTCATCCAAATCCATCATATCGGATGAGGACTCAGATAACGATGATTTCTTTAAATGTTGACCTACTTGTTATTGTGTTGTTCAGTGTTGACAAACATATTAGTTGACATCATCATCACATCAGAAAAAGAGATACAAATATATAAAATTGAGCAATTATAAGTTATAACAAAAGAACAAAAGCATTCTATTCAAACATATGAAGCATTTGCTGTCTAGCTTTTGTAAAAAGTTTAAAAAAAAAAAAATTAATATTTATTTGGATATATGTGATAAGTATAATATATAAAAGTTATATATATATTTAAATAAAAACGATGTATGCACATTGTATAGTTTTAGGGGGGAAGTATGTAAACGAGAGACATTGAAAATAAGGGTGAGAAAGATATAGAGATAGAGAGAGAGAGAGAGAGAGAGAGAGAGAGAGAGGAAGACAAGGAGAGACATAGATAGATAGATAGATAGATAGATAATGAGATTGGGAGGATAGAGAGAGAGAGAGACTTATGTAATACACGAGCGTATAGTGTTTGTTCGTAACGAAGTATAACGAGACAAAATGAGTAAGGATTCGGTGTTTTCGAAAAAGTTTTGCAAAATAAATGGACTTACCTAATGTACCTGGTAAATATGGACAACTAGTAACATGATTAAAGTTTTGGCTCTGCATCTCCTCTTGATCCGTTTCGCGATGATAAAAGTAATTGAAATTACTGACAATTACTGGTACCGGTAGAGCGATCGTTAATACACCAGCAATGGCACACAGCGATCCCACAATTTTACCCCAAACTCCGACCGGCCTATATGTGTGTATTTCGTTTCAATTTCAATGGAATTGTAATAGTAAACGATAGCCGATTTTTGTTTTTTGCAGTTTTTTTTGTTTCGATTTTATTGTGGGATAAATTGTTATTATTTTTTCGGTGGATTTATTTATTTTCGATTTGTTATTAAAAGTTTCAATTTTTATTTTGGTTTTGTTTTGATTTTTTTTTTTTTTTTTTTTTTTTTAATATTATTTAGGATGAAGAGTACGATGTATATAACGAACGAACGAACGATCAAAAAACAAATGAAAATACAAATATAAAAAAAAAAATTTATATTTATGTAAATTAAAATTTTGAACATAGTTTTTGATTTTGATTTTTTTGTTAAATTTTGGTTTGTTATTTTTTAAAAAAAAAAAAAAAAAATTTTTGCAAAAAAAATTCCAAAAATAAAAAAAAAAAAAAAAAAAAAAAAAAAAAAACGAAATAATAATAATAATTTTATGTAAATATATGGTTATTTTATTATATTTAATTACATATATATATATTTACGTATGCAATGTGAAATTGATTTTCAATATTAGTAAGTCTGCGGTGTGCATATATATTGTGTATGAAACTATAAACATACTATTATGTGATAATAATGAATGTAGTTTTCATTAACTCTTAAAAGCGAGCACCAGACGCAGAAATAGGTATACAATGAGAGCGACTGTAGTACGCTGTATATAATTGTTTAGCGGTAAGAGAGCGTTTGAAATGAGACTGATTGTATAAGAGATATGATAATAACTGAACTATGTTGCAGATGATAGACAGAGAAGAACATAGTGATAAATATATATATGTATAGATAGATGTATGAAAGCAAGCAAAATGTGTCGTAGTTGTTTTCTTGTCTACGATATTGTGCATAAAGTGTTCCGCATTTAATTATTGAATTGTTGTGTAGAATGGCAACGAGAGGTGATAGGAGGGGAAAAATGTGGATGACAATAAAATTGCTAACATGATGATGAGTAAGAAATATTGCAAATAATGATATAAAATGAGAGATACCGGCGTGGGATATTATATAAATATAAAAACTATATTTGCTTTCGAGTAAATCTTGGGTAACTATGTGCTTGAATAAAGTTTGTTGTTGTTATTATTGTTCTGCGTGTTATTTATCATTATAGTTTTTGAGTCGGCACACACATTTCATAATGCTGATGTGTCAAGGAGAGAGAAGGAGAAGAAGAAGAAGAAAATAGTAGCAGCTCACGAGAATATTGTTTACAATTCGATATTATCGATGGCGTCCTATTGTCAGGATGAGGTTATTTATGAAATTGCCAATTGTTGAGAAAAACAAATGTAAAGACACATATGTACTTATACAACGATTCCTCAAAATGAGGCGACTGGAACTCTTGTCAATGTCAATAGGTTTACGAATTTTATCGATGTATATCAAAAATTGTTACCTATAAGTTGAACAAAACATTCTGAATCGGTCGCTTTAATAAAAGGTGAGTTCATCTCAAGTACTTTGGGGCTTTACTTACATATATGAAACTTAATATATTTTTGTGCCGTCGGGGTGGAGGACGAATTGAACACCGCTATCTATATCTATGCGCTGAATAACATTGCGCAGCATGCTGCACATTTTTTTAAAGAAGCAAGTCATTGAACATGACATTCGACGACGTTGATTTTTTAATGAGGAATCTTATATATTGTAATTGGAACGTTATCTTTGCGGCTATTGAATATATATTAATCGATCCATCGGGATGACGGATTTTTTTCAAACTTTTACAGGCCGATAATCATGACTTACTTGCAACAATTTCGCTTTCTATTGCTTAAGATTGCTTTTATAGTGTAGTAGTATTCTCATTGCTCTAAAACTTGTTTTATAGACATTACAAAAGAGCGTGAAAGATAATTGTTAACTGTTAATTTTGATTTTACGAAATTTTAAAGAAATTAAATAACAAACGCACTCAAACAACTAAATCAACTCAGTAACTAATCAAAGAGTTGGTATATGTTTTGTATATCTGATGCTCATTTCTGCATCTTAAAAATGAGATGACGAGATACGCTTATTTAATTCAATGATGTTGAATAACAAAACGCATAAGATTAGATGTCAGCTTTAATTGATTTTAATAAATTGAAGGGCGATTGGCAGCAGGACATTGTAAATATGAAAATGTATAAAATATTATCATAATATAAGATAAAGAGATTACTTTTTTTTTTTTTGTTTTTATAGATATATTAAGATCAAGTTGGTCTCGCTTACTGGATTGAATTGGATATAGAAATTCTTAAAGAAAACAATTCTTTTATGTGCATTGAAAATTTGTTCTGAGGTCCTTCTTAAAAAGACATTTGAAGAAACTAATAGACATTTTTCTAAGCACGTTCCACGTTTTATTAATGAAAGTATTTTGGAAATATTGATTTTTGTTTACAACGTTGATGTTGCAAGATATTCACTCAAAATTCTTTATTGTTTCTTATTATTGCATATTAGCATGGAATGTAAGCTTGTATTCCCATCAACGGAAACTTATGTAAATAAGTATACATAAAATTACTTTTTTTGCTTATTGCGACCAACTTTATATATGATTTTAGAAAAATTTTAAAAGAATTTACATGCGCTCCTCCCTTTAACTCCTTTTAACTTTCATACAATATTTGCTGGGAAAATCGATGAACGATGCGCTCACCTGACAAAGATCGCATCACTTCGTATACGTGTTAAATAATATTTTTATATATATATTTTGCCGACATCTTACGGTCATGCCCATGATATGATATCATATATCACTAAATATAGAGAGATAGATCGCTAACGTAGAGTTTACTGTTAGGAAAAAGAGAAAAATCATTAGATTTTTTAGTTCGATTTTACTGAAAAAAATTCAAGGCCAAGATTTATATGAAGAAACTTTTGAGCACTATTTTGTTTGCCTCTTGCAGTAGATATATAGGCAATGAGTTTTTCAGTAGAATTCTTCTCCTGAATGAAGAAAGCCTATGCACTCGATCTAGCAGATGGAATAATCAGCTTAATAGTCAGATGCGTTTCCAGAATAGACAGAGATTTTTTATTCCTGCCTTTAAAGATGGATCGATAGTTGATCTTGTTCTCAGTTTAGATAGTTATCTAAAGTGTGATGAAAAGTCGCGTTTTCAATTTCCTTCGACAAGTTGGAAGAACGCAGCCATGCAATTGGGGGAGAATCGCAAAATTCTTACATCAGATGTGACAAGAAAATGAATACGAAAGGTACACCTTTTTTTTCTTCACTTCCGATATTTATAAAATCTGTTTAACTTTTTCCTTATTGTATTTATGGAACTTTTTCATTTCATAAGCGGAATGTACCTACCTAAAGAAGAAATGAATAAAAATTAATATGAACAACCTTTGAATATCGTACACCATTGTACAATTGGTCATACAACGATTTTTCAAAATAAGGCTTTCTATGCAAAGTGGTCGATTAGAGTCACAATCGTTCTTGTGCCAAAACACTTCAACGTATCAAATTTAATGGAATTATCTCAAAAATTATAGCCTGGTAGGTTGTACATAAGAACATTAGAGGGCCAGGCAATCTTCAATTAAGAAACTAATTCTGAATCGATCGATATAATAAAAAGTCGGTCTATCTTCATTATATTATATTATATATATATATATATATACATACATATATATATATATATGTATTGAGAATTTGGTCGGCAATCGGTCTTGGGCATTAATAGATTATACTGAAAGCAATGAAAAGAACGTTCTTCGTTTGAATGATAATAAAAAATGCTGGCTTAAAAGACGATGGGAGGGAGTCTCTTAATCTTATTTCAAAATTGTTTTAAGAATATATTTTTTTAAAAAATATATAAAATGGTTTATGCTTCATAAAGTGCAAACAGGGCGTCAGAGGAAGAAGAAGAGATAAAGACAGACAGGTAGAGAGAAAGCGAGAAAGAGAAAGAAAGAAAGAAAAAAAAAGAGACAGAGAGAGCGATAGATAGATAGATAGATAGATAGAGAGAGAGAGAGAGAGAGAGAGAGAGTGAGAATGACAATAATAGAGATAGAGTGAGAGTGATAGTGAGAGTGAGAGTGAGAGAGAGAGAGAGAGAGAGCGAGAGAGAGCGAGAGAGAGTAATGCAATTGAAGATAAGAATGAAATGGGAACGCTTTATATCGAGAAACATAGTGATATGGCAACAGACGTTTAAATATGCATTCGTAACAAATTTGTGAGGGTTTCTTTATAGCTTAGAATTTTTGAAACCAAAAACCAATTAATTGATTGTGTTTTAAACAATCATTAAAACAAGGAAAAAGATAAAAGAATATTAAAACAAAAAAATATGAAGAAAACAAGAAAAGAGCAATGAAAAAATTCATGCTTTTAACGGAAGAAAGTTTCTTGATTCCGTGAGAATTGTCAGCCCAATGAATTAATTAAAATGCAACCATGCAAACGAGCAAACAGCAGAAATTTTATAAAAAAAGCGTTTATAATAATAATAATAATAATAATAATAATTAAATAAAAAGTCACAATGAAATTTAATAAAATAATTCCAAATAATAATAATAATAATAATAATAATAATAATAGAAGTTATTTTGAGAAAAATGTTAGCATTTTTTTACTTAAGTGCTTTCAAAAAAAAAAACTTTTCACTTATTTTAAGATATTTTTATATTCTTTTGTTTTCGTATATATTTTTCTGTTGACATTACGTCTGTACTTATGTAAGTGAAACTGATGATGATTTCTTGAGCGGAAATTGTATTTATATTTTTATATTTATGGTTTAAATGAATGATTGGAGATTGCCTTAGATGGAATATGAAGTGTGCCAATGAATTTCATTTTAATGTATCTTTTTTTCTTCTTCTTTAAAGAAAACTTTACATCAATAACTAAAACAATTTAAAGGAGAGTTAAGTGAATCAAGGAAAATGCTTAAAAATTTCATTAGTATTGTAACAAAAAAAAAAAAAAAAAAAAAATGTTAATATCATTTAAGGGAATAAAATCTTTAAACATTTTACTTTTGGAAAGAATGGGATAAGTTTTTTTTCTTCTTTTTTTTTTTTTCTTTTTAATGAAATAAATAAAAAAACTGAAGAGCAAAACAAGTGATTATAAAAAAATTAAACTGAAATTTGAGTAAAGAGTTAATAATAATAATAATAATAATAATAATAATAGTAAAGATAATTAATAAATAGAGAGAGTAAAAATTTTTGCATACGTCATGTCACCATATCCAACGGTTGTCATGGTAACGACAGCCCACCAAAATGCATCGGGTATGGACTTGAAGAAGGAATTTTCGCTTCCAGCTTCCGCAAAATAAACCGCCGATGAGAAGAGTACAACGCCTAGAAAATTAAATTTTATATGGTTTTTTTCTTTTTTGTTTGTTTTTTGAAAGATTGTTTTTGCTTTGATTAAAGGAAGAATTGGTTTTTTGTTGTATGGAGAAAAGAGGTAATAAGTAGTACTTAATGATGATTTACGATAGTGATTTTTTTCCTGGGGGTTTTTTTTTTTTATTATTTTTTGAATGGATTTTCAATAAAATTTCTCATGAAATTTGGAGTTTCTTTTTCAATTCAGCGTCAAGGAAAATATGATAAGGAGAAAGGATATATATGTAAAAGAATGTTTTTTTTTTTCAAATAATTTTATTATAGGACAACTTTGGAGTGTTAGTGTTTCTTTTTTGTTTTCGTTTTTTTTTTTTAATTTGTATTAAAATCTAAAATATAGATATATATATATATATATATATATATATATATATATATATATAATATATATATTATGGAAACTACTTTATTAGTATGTGTTGGCGTTTTGCTTGACTTTTCCAAACTCTTGTTGTTTACTGTGTGTGTGTGTATTGTGATTAGAGAGAAATCCTAGAAACAAAGGGTTTGCAAAAAACAAAAAAAAAAAAAAAAAAACGATATGAATAATTTTTTTTTAATTTATGTCCCAAATAATGATAATTTGATGTTTTCTGTTTTAGTTTTCGCTTTTTCTCTTGAGGAGAAAATTTTAATAAAAATGTTTCCCAAGCAGTCTTAATTAGATCTTAAACCGTATTAAATTTCCATAATACAAAGGCGTCTTCATTTCCTTGGCATTCACTGTAGGGCTGTGTACTAAGTATGCAAAAAAATATATAAGACTTCTTCTTATTCTTGTTTCTCGTTTTTCTTTTTTTTCAAGCTTGTGATTTTTCTCATTTCATATAATTACAAATAATGTATCGATATCTTAACTAAGAAAACAAAAAACGAAAAAAAAAAAATAAAAAAAATAATAAATAAATTATCAAATTATTAAAATAATAATAATAATGATAATAATAATAATAATAATAATAAATAAACTGAAAAGAAACGAAATAAAAAATATAAGTAAAGAAAGATTTCATGCTGCTTAAACGAATTGAAATAAAAAAGGAATTAGAATTATATTTGGAAATACATTTAAAACGGACAACATTGACGCTGCATATGATTCTCTCATATATATATTCATATATGTTATTATTAAATTATTCACACAGTAGAGCAAGAGGGGCAAAAAAAAAAAAAAAAAAACGGGGGAAAAAATTAGGATAAAAAAAAGTTAGAGAAAGAGAGAGAGTGAGAGTTAAATCACAACAATACGTTTATATATGACAACATTGAAAATAATAAAATATAATTTACAAGAACATTAATATGTATATAGAAAAAATTAAAAAAATTGTTAAAAGGATGCTCAACAAAGTTTTTCAATTTCTCATAAATTGGAATGGAAAATAGTTTTCAGTACGTTATACAGCTTTTTGTGTTGCGAAAAAGTTAAATCGAATTAAAAGCTTGTAAGAAAAATTATTTTTGTTTTAGCGCGAGTCTTCGATAGGCAGGAATGTATTAACTGAATACATTGGTAATGCGGAATATTTAAGTATATGCAGATGTGTAATCTGATTGATCGGGGAATTTTTACAATAATCTCTTAGCTGGTTCCCGAAACAAAACTCAACTTTCAGCGACCGTGAAATATTTTCTCACAACGATCTTCGCTTAAGCTGTCAAGATACAAATGAAATCAAGTCATCCAGTTACTTATTTCCTTTATCTCTTCGTTTTGATTTTGATTTAATTCTTGAAGATTCCATTCTCCATCCTTCCAACATGCTATTAGCAAATTTTTTCAAGCAGTCCTCCTCACTTCGATTTATTATGCAAAATTTTCAAAGATCATTCAGGATCTTATAGATAGTTGTTGCGATTGTATTATTTAGCAGATCATATCCATATTTCCAATCGTGATCTCTCACCACTAATCAAGAAGACAATGCTAGGTATTAAGTTTAAGTTGTCCGTTTCATTTTCTTGCGACTTAGAGAATTGCCATAATAAACGATTTACGACGATCTTAAAAGCTAAACAAGAATTTGTCACCTTTTGAGAGATTTAAAGAATTTTCAAATCATTCTACATAGTGTATGGAATCAATTGCTTAGTGAAAAGATTTGCAAATACGTATAACGTAGAAAGGAGCCTTGCTGAGCATCCTTAGTAAATGTGTTAAAAAGGTTTTTAAAAATTAATTCTTCGCTTTTATATTTAATAATCATATTATACACAACACAATTAATTTACATCACTTTACATTGTTATATTTTGTAATTAGATAATTATAATTAGATAATAATAAGGGTTAATACTGACAACGATTATGTGTATAGCTGTTTATATTTGATTTTTTGCATTTTTGGAATTTATTTATTTTTATTTTTTATTTTTTTTTTTCTTTTATACCTCATATCACCATATCCCACAGTGGTCATAGTTACAACAGCCCACCAGAATGCGTCCGGTATAGATTTGAAGAACGATACCTCAGCACCAGCTTCCGCGAAATAAACAGCCGATGAGAACAAGACAACACCTGGTTTTTTCGGTATTTAATTTTTTTTTTTTTTTTTAATTTAATATTTGTTTTAATTTTGGAAAAAATTCAAAAAAATATATTAATGTTCAATAGTAAGAAAATTTTTATTTATTTATTTACTTATTTTTTTAATTTTTACAATTGAAAAGACGAGAAAAGTTATTCTGCTTGGGAAATATTTTCGAACAATGTTGTAATATGTATTGTTTGATCAAATCATTGAAAAATGTTTCAATAAAGCACAATAGTAAAAGATGAAGAATGCCTTAAATAAATCGAAATGAAATGTATGTTATTACAGTCCCTTGAGTTTGACTTATTTCAATGATTTTTTCTATTTACGATAATAGTTCAGATTTTTAAAGATTTTTCATTATAATGGAAAGTGTCAACGGGGAACATTACTTGTTACATTGAAAGGCATTTCGATGACCGAGATAAAATATAAATTAGGATGAAAAGATAATTGTATCGTACGAGGTAAACTCAAAATTATACTTGTATCCATTACTTATAGATCAGAGAGATTGGTTAAATTCAATTAATTGTTGGAAACACAATCAGTTTGGAAAATTGTCAAAATTCATAAAATCTTAAGCTAAATCTATAGGTGACTTTTACAGCCGCCTAATTGTTCTTCTAAGTTAGTTAGTTTTGGCCTTGACGATTTCTTTCGAACTCATTTAAGATTAGGTGACACGTTTTCACTTGAATAGTCGGATACGCATTGTTGAAAAAAGGATGAAAATAAACTTCATTTTTTTTTTTTTTTTTTTGCTTTGTATATCCTTCGTGTTTGACTGTTTCAGAATGCATCCAAAAGAGCTTCGTTTAGTACTTAGGCACTTGGAATTGTATAATATAATCGTAACTTTGTCTAGTCAGTTCGTCAGTTACACGTTGGCTAAAGAATCTCCCAATCTGAAGAGATTCTGAGTAGGTATATAAACTATCAGATGTACGGCCTTACATTGTGTGCCTGTTATACACGGTAAGGCGGTTCATTGATTTGTCTATAGCCAAAAAGAAAAAAAAAAAAATGGGGGTAATAATAAATCCTAAATTGTAGGTTTTTCTCTCCCATTGATCACCCATTTTTTCAGCCCATTGTATAGCGGAATAAATTATTTGGAATAAAAAAAAAAATAAATAAAATAATCAATGAATAAATAAACAAAATTTTATCCATGACATGAAATTTCCTTATTATTGTGTTATATAAATTTATACAATAGACCATTGTGCTTTATTTAAAAAATTGTAAATTTATAATTCGTTGTACGTAAAAGTGTGAAATTTGCACACGCTTTGATAAAAATGAAATTTCAACATAACATTACTTGTAAGTTGATTAACGAATTTCATTAACTACGAATTGAAAAGATGTCGTTTTTTTTTTCATTAATTTTTGATTAATGAAAACAAAAACTATATATGTATATATGTATATATATATATATATAATATATATATATAATATATATATAATATATATGTATATATAATAATAAAAAAAGATTCGACTTAAAGTGTAGTGCATTTAAAAAAAGATTATTAAAAAAAATCTCTTCATAGGATTATATATGTATATGTATATATATATTATATATTGATATATATTTGATTAGTACAAAATTAGAGTGCACGAAAATTCTTCTAAGAAAAACAAAATAAAACATAACAATGCTATCCGGTAGCCAAAAGAGTTTTTGCCGTATTTTTTATTGCATTTGCATTTTCTTAGTACTTTTTATTTGCAAGAGTTTAACGATAGGTAACAAATTGGATCGAAATTATGATAGACGGACGATAGCGTATACATAAACTTTTTACAGCGGATGTAATAAGAAAATTAATTTTTTTTCGTAAGAGCATACTTTAGATTATATATGTCATGAGTACGAATCACAATTTGGTTTTGTACAGACTAAGTAAATGGGTCATAGTGGACAACGGACAACCATTGACATACTTCACACCAAATGTTATAGTTATTCATAAAATGATCCGTATTCAAAATACGGGAAATGGTCGGACAAATGATTCTTTCCAAATCTTCATAACTAAAATCTCTTAAAAAATTATGGAGGAATGGACAAACAAAGCTTAGAACGTTTCAGAAATTGATTCTCAATCGATCCTGATAATAAAAGATGAATCTATCTCAAGTTGTTGTAGGTGTTGCATATATGTGGATAAACTGAACACACCTTTGTATTGGTGTATGTTATCAAAAGATAAATGGGAGAATAAAGGGGATTCTTAGAATGAGTTACTTATGAATCAGAATAAATTTAATCTGGGTTTGATTGGGAATTATTCAAGAGTCACTCAGCATCACTTTTAAGTGTAAGGCATAACTTAAGTGACAAGTATTCGCTGGTTTTTTGATCGACTATATGAATGAAACGCAAGCTAAAACGGAGTCTACCGACCCGATAATAATATATAGCTTAAGTATGAGAAATCATTGACTGTAAATTTATTATTGGGCCAGAGGTGTACTCGTTTTGTTCGTTCTCTAAACGCAATAAACATATAAACGGCAACTGTTTTGATTACCTTGAGTAAAATAAAAGGAAAAAATAGAGGATAAATTAAAGATGATATATACGAAGAGTATGTTATAAAAGAAATTCAAAATTTATACTGAACCTTGTATAGAGAATTATTTGTCTTTAGATTTTTTTTGTTTTTGTTTATTTTTTTATTATTATCATTTTTTTTTTTTTTTTTTTTAGGGGGTGGTGGGGGGATTGTTATCTAAAAAGGCGTTTCGGAAGAAATAATTAAAGAGCTACTAATATGTTGCTATAAGTTTTTTTGCTATAAAACTAAATATATTACAAAAGTTTAAAAATATACACAAAAAAAAAAAAAAAAAAAGAATTCAAAAACAACAGCTAGATAAACTACGCTACAAAAGATAAGAGAAAATTATGAAAATTATAAAAAAAAAAAAAATTTATTTAATAAATATTTTCATTTAAAATATAATTTTTATTTTTTGTGTTTTATTGTTTATATATTAATATTTCTTTTAACTTTTAATTACTTTCAGCCGTTTAAGTTTTTACTATATAAGAGTTTAATAATAATCAAAATCAATTACAATACACTACGCTAAGCTAATATATATATATATGTATAATTGATCAACAATAAATAACGTTACAAAAGTGCATAATGTTTATATCTCTTGGCGTGTAGTTGTTGCAGTTTTATTTTTATTATTTTTTTTTTCTTGTTATTGTTGTGTATTAGTGTTGATATTTAACAAAATAAACTCTAAATATTTAGATTAACGTCAATGTTTCTCGTATTTATAAGTTTATTTTGTCTTATATATATATGAAATGTATATATATATGTATGTATGTATGTATGTATGTATGTACGTATGTTTGTATGTTTGTATGCATATATGTTAGTGCGTGTGGTTGTAAGTGAGTGTATGTGAATTCATATCAGAAAAACGCTTGTAAGCTTTAGAATATTGAAAATAAAATTGAAAATAAAAATTCACATAAACAATAATTAGCTATAAGTGTATTGTAAACATAATATGTTTATAAATAATATGTAGTTACTAATAATATATTTATATAGGAAAGTGATGTATATATATATATATATATATATATATATATATATATATATATATAT